CAGTTAAACTGAACCAATTCTCTCTTTTAAATGCATGAGATCCACGACATTACTGTACGAGTGCATTATGATGATCAAAGCGTTTATCCTGCTCCATTTCACAGTTAGGAATGAGAGCTTTTAAAAGAAGAAAAAAGCAGCTAAAACTATTATGTCGCCACAAGCGTCTTTAAATTCGATCTCCAACGCTTACTAATACCGCCAAAGTCAGCCAGTAAAGTGCTCAGATCATTTTTTCCTCGTGGAAGAATTTCTTCGAAAACATCATTTTCCTATATCTTCGGAGAAATTTATTACCAACGGCCATTCTGAGTTGATGTGAATTTTGAAATGTTTTCTTGATGTGGTAACACTAATCTTCAAGATCCATGAAGGCCATACACGCCTCCGCAAATCAAGACAAACTCAAGATAGATATTTGCTTCATTAATTAATTCACACTAATGAATAGTTGTGAAATTACCGTGACAAAAAACGTGATAAAACTTGTATCTTTGATAATGATGATTATATAATAATAATGTATGTCTTCTTTTTGCAGGGAAGCCTGATCAGTATTAATTCTATTTTCCTTGAGGGCCTGCCATCAAATTAATAGCCCTAGCTTTATCCGACCTACCATGAGAAGGTGCTCAAGCTTTTAATAAATTTCATCCTACCAGGTACCATTATTATTTACAATACCTTGGTAAAGGGGCGGCGATTTCTTTTCATAACCGGAGGGGGGGGCGAAATACGAGAGGAAATCTGTATTCCGTTGGTATCACGGTGATACTAACCGAATACAAATTTTCTACAGTAAGTATTGTCTATTTTGAAGGACATTATGTGAGGGAGCGGAAGATTTTTGCATTTGTATTAGTCTTAACGCTGCACTCTTGGGCCCTCCAGAGCTTAAAATTGTGTTGCAGTCTTTAGTATTTGCTATTTTCTTCACTTCTGAAAATTTTCCGGGGGGACGATAAACATCCCCCGGGATCGCCGCCCCTGCATGCGTGGTGGAAAGTGGCAAATAGAGAATAATAACTTCCCAAAGGATATTAGTGATGCAGTATACGTGATGCTATGAAGGAGAAGGATGATCATTATGGTATTCTTACTGTAACAAAAGTTAGCAACGTACGCGTTCTTTCCATTTTATTATCCACATCATTATCTTACTGATAGAATGATCTAGTTTGCATCTCCTTTATCATTTGTGATGTTCCTTTGTTCCTATTTCGGTCAGCAATTTGTTAATGTCCTTTTTCTATTTCTTGACAGGTTTCGATTATCAAGATCATGAAGATACTAATGACGAGCAAAAGCTGCATTACTGACAGGCGGGGACACATCTCGATACACTGTCATGATGATTAGTCCGTGCGCTTTCTCTTCTACTTGACGTGCTATACGGGGGAGCATATTGTCTCTCGTTTGAATGCATGTCATTTGTAATTCAGCGTGATAACAACAAACATCTGAATACTAAATGAGCTGACTTATCATAACGTGTTACGATTTGGATTTCCCCAATCTATCTAATGACTACTTGGTTGTTATTAGTGACGTAGTTTTGCATAAACTAGCTAATTTTGACAGAAACCTGACGACGGCATTCTTGTTCCATCGTAGAAGGTACTGATATGAAGACAATTTCTTTCATCTTCTCGCATCCTAATTTTGACAGAAGCTTTACGACGGTGTTCTTTTCCACCGTAGAAGGTAATGATACGAAGACAACTTATATCATCTTCTCGCATCCTAAACAAGTCTGGTCCGTAAAACCATATCATGTTTAAATCCTACTTTATGTGTTGCTATACGCTGGCATCACATAATCACGATAGAATCTGCTGAAGAGTTGTAATCTGCCTAAACAATCTTCAACTATCAATCATCTGCTGTGAGCTTTGAAAATAAATGGGTCAATGCAAATAAGACTAAAGTCATTTTATTTTCAACCCGCGGAAAAGGTCGTACACAAGCCTTCATGTACCCCGAATTCACGTTTGGTGTTAGTTATCCAAGATATCCATGCATGTTCGATCTAATTTGTAAAGCTAAGAATTTGTGCTTACCAATTGATATTCAAAATGAGCTCTTCGATTAATTAATTATCCCCATTTTATTGTATTGGTGTGAAGTGTGGAGGTTTGAAAAATTAGACTGTTACAGTATTGAAGTGCATTATAGAAAATAAATCAAAACCCTGCTTAAATCGAGCCATGACACTGCAAATTGTATGGTGTGTAGTGAAGGTTTTAGATATGCTTTGACTAGTAAACTGGAGAGGCATTTGATAAATTGTTAGAGTTACTCAGGGAAAGAAATCTAGGCTCACGTGTGCTACTTATAATTTGTTACGCAAACTATACGATAATTATTGTGAATTTGAATCTAGGTTAATTATGAAATTCCGAAGTATCTTAGTCATAAGCGGAATGTCAAATATATGGGTTGAAAATATCCCCTCATAAAAGAGTGGGCGAAATCATCTATGGATCGTAGATTTATTAATGACATTTATTTGCAAAACTGGAATAAAGACCCTAATACAAATCGCTTATGATTCAGTTACAGGATTTTTAGGTATGGAAGAATATTTGTTAAAGTTGGATTTTAGAGACAGAAGATCTCTTTGTAAAAATTTCGATGTGGTAGTAGTCATCTGCCCGTCACTTTAAAATGCCGTTATACGCCTAGTCAGCCTCTGGAATTGTGTTCATTATGTAATCTCTTAGTACAGCGTTATGAATTTCATTATGTTCTCGTATGTCCAGCCTTTGATAACATAAGCAGTATTTTAAGAAATATTATTACAAAAAACCTAACATTTTCAAATGTCATCAGTTATATAATATTATAAAAATTATATAAATTATATAAATTATAATTATAATTATATAAATTATGATAAACAGTTAGAGAATCTTTCTAAATGTTGTAAAATTATTATGTCAAAGTTTGGATAAATTTTTTAATATATATATACATACACACAAATAAAAGAAAAAGTGATGTTCCGTACACGAAGAAATCGTATAACAAATTGTCCCCCTTAGGGCTTTGTCCCATATATATAGGCCTATATATATATAAAAATATGACAATATTTAAATTGGATAATCCTCCGTCGCGGTAATATAAAAATAATAATGATAAAACAATTGCAATTCAAATCCTTGAGAGTTCACTTCTTCACTATTACAGGTTTCAATTTATTCCTTCAGATTGTAAATTCAAAATTACAAATGACAAACAAGTGCATCAAAATGTATACAAAAAATGCATACAAGTGAATTGCGCTTTAACTGGGCGTTGCTTAGCAACGGATTATCGTATTATGTCATCCTAGTAAAAAATCATGTCATGTCCATCTCTATCTCAATTTTGTACTACATGATACATGTAATGTGTATTTTGCAATATCAGTAAAACTTGTTTACGTCATAAATACATTATGCATGCATATTCATTTAAAACCGCATCGTTCTCTATAATATGTTGAAGTTAGAACTGTTAAGCTCTGGCTGAAAGAAATTTATGAGATAATTGTCTTTAGTCTTACGTTCAGTTTCATCTTGTGTTTTCATTTAGAGAAAGGTATAACATCAAATTCTGCATTTGTTCTTTTTACATATCTTGATACGTTGTTAACTTATATTAAGGATTTGATTTTTTTTTATGAATCTCTTACGTGTTGACGATGGATTGTCATTCTTCATTAATATATCTCCTGTCTCACAAATAAATTGTTTCCCTCAACCATTACAATTTAGACAATAAAGCAAGTTTCTAGATGAGCATGAAATGAAATTAATTTGACAATCCATCGTCAAGACATAAGACAAAATATCAATCCTTAATGGAGCACGAATGGAGATAGAGATTGACATGATTTTGATTATGATTTAACGGTACATAATATTATAATTCCGTTGCCAAGCAATGCTCCTGTACGCATTATTTGAATTTATTAGTAAACTTCATTCTTATACATGAACATCTTGTTTCACAATACATAAATAAAAAAATCATATAAACAAGAAAATCAACAAGGGGTATAGTTTCGCGAGAAATCACAAATTAACAATAAACAATGAAGCCTGTTTATACAGTGGTAAATGATATTATTACAACAAAATGATATGACACTACCGGCCTATGTTTGACAATAAAGATACGTAACAAATGAGAATGATAATTTCGATATTTATTTTCTATGTATATACGTTTAATTTTATTTAAGGCATACACTTACATGGGTGGAATATTAAAATCCCCCTCGAGTATTTATGCTTGTTTTAATATACTTACAGAAGTGATCAGTTATGTATTCATTCTCAAGTTTCATTATGCTTACAAATTTCTCTTCATCGCTAAGATCTTTAAACTCTTCAGATATTTCCGCCATTTTATTTTTTTGTATATAGCTTGTTGCACTTAAAAACGTTAATCAGGATAATGCATTTTTATAAGCTATTGAAAAACATGTTTGTCAAGACTCAGGCACTTGTTCATTTCATGATAATAAAACTTGACCTTTCCCGTCTTCCTCTTGATATACGGATTAAATTGTTTGCTCATTTCCTTTGACCGATTGTATCGTACGACTGTGAGGTTTAGGAGATCAAAGATCAAAAACAAACTTTCTCAAATCGACTCATTTTATTAAAAGTACACTTGTTCAAGGTTTTATTGTGCGTTCATAAGAGTCCTCCAAATTTCATGGTTGACGGAGAACGGCATGTTGATGTTCTGGTATAGGCTGGTACACGAAAAAAGAGCGAAAACGAGCCCATCTGTTATATATTACCTTAACTGTTTTCACTATTCATTAACGAAATCCATGCATGCATGCTTTGGATTCAAAAGATTGAGGACTTCTTAATAATCTGATACGTTTTTCTCAATCCTCTTTTAAGAATGCAAATTCAACGAAATGAATAATATGCATTGGAAATGGGAGTTCTCGAACATATTTTCACAGTCATGAATGAAAAGAGGTAAACATTTAATCAACTTTATGAGCAACAATGTATTTGTGAAACGTTTATACTTCTCTTCATCGCAGATCAGAATGGAGAATGTCTCTTTATTATGGCACTCATCGAATGATGTCGAATACGATATCAGCGTCTCCGGTTGGCAAAGTCATAATGAAACCATGGATGAGAGGGTGCACGACGAAAAGATATACAAGGCTATTCTGGTCTGGACTATTACCATAATGTTTACCGGGATCCTTGGAAACGTACTCGTTATATCGGCAGTCTTGTTGCATCGAAACTTACGTAAGATCGGTGAGTATATTTTGTGTCAATTTTTTTAGCTGATCATCAGCTGTTCATATTGCAGAAATTATTGTTATTCCTAAATAATTAAGGTAATTTGTATGTATTGACAGTGGTCTCTTGTGAAACATGCTGAGCCTGTTTATTTTTCATTTATATGTTTCTCGATTGCATTAAAACTTACGTAAAAGTCGTTGCGTATAATATATTATGATCAAACAGAATGTTCATGCTTGAAGAAGCATCATAATCCAACCTCCCAGATAACCATAGTCCTTCAAACATCTAAATGATGTTTGAACGTACGCACTCACGTTTACTTAAGTTTTGATGTAACAAGACCGCTGATATATTGAGAACTATGTCAATCTATTTGACAAACACGTGAAACAAACGAAAAAACTTAGATCATGTCTATCGTTCATCGGCATATTTTTTGTCTCAACATTTACTCTCCAATTTTTCGCATGTTTGAATATATACGGTGAAAATGATTTACAGGTGACAACTTCTCTAAAAATCATACGCTTGTGGCGAGAGTGCCGTAAACAATTAAAAAAAAAACATGTCACATAAATTTCACATAAAAATATTATACACGGGCAAAAACAAAAAGAAGGAATAGAACTAGGACATACAAACACACACAGATAAAGAACAGCCAACAACAGAAAAACAAGCAGAAATAAACGGAAGGTAGAAATCAAGGAACACCTGTCACACACAAAAATTATCTTAAATCTTGATTTATTACAGTTCAAAGACGGAGAATCTTTAATATAATGATGATGACGAGTTTTGGGGCCAGAATATCGAATATTATGTTGATCAGATATAGTTCGATGTTCAGGTAAATGCAAGGGGTAGGATGATCTGGTATTATAATCGTGGTACTTTTCGTTAAAATCAAACATAATTATGAGATATGAGAAAGCATGAATTATCAATACATTGATGAATAGATATGAATTCTTGATATCGTTAAATTTCACTATAAGTCATCAATTTCAATTCAAAATAAACTTGTTTTACGATCGTCCTTGGATGTATTCCCGGAATTATGCGGATAAGCCTATTTAACATAAGATTTAGTTTAGTAAGACGTGCATGATAAATTGTACTCCGGCCGCAAACTAAATTACAATATGTCAAATATGATAGAATCATCGGCGGGATAATAAAACATTCTTTAAACAATTTTAAAACTTCGATTTATTAGGAAAAGCCCCTCTAATTAATGAAACATTAAAAACATGACATAATGGCGAGCTATTAAATTGAATAATATTTTGTTAAACATCGGGACTAAAAGTATCTCGACCCCGGTATTTATCGAACAATATAACATATTTCATGTTCAGGTCTTTTGGGTTATTATTTTTAAACATGTAAGTTTGTTCTAAATAACTTATGTTCCCTTTCATTTTTATGTAATAAAATTAAAATGAACATTTGTTTTTCAACGTTCCAATATTTCTTTTGATGATCTCTTTTTACGCAAAGGAAAATGTTTTTCATAGAGGGAAGATAAAATAATTTCATAACAATTATTTTAAGCATCATTAACATTTTCTGTAAACTATGATTAAGCCAAGTATCCTGCTTATAATCTAACCTAGGCTTTCTGTTTAGTCTCCCGATTTACTCTGATGAGTGCCAGTTTTAGTATGCCTGTATTCATTGCTATTCTTAGACCATCAATTTGTAATGCACTACATTATTTTCCCGTAACCATGGTAACATTTTGAGTGTTGAGTATTGCATATTTCTTTCATATTTATGAACGCGTAATGGTAGATTTATGCCATTTATTAATGTATCCGAAGAGATGAATATGTCGATAATTTCATTACACACTACAGGAAGATAGGGAATCGCAAACTGTTATGTGTTTTCATTTTTACATTGTGTACTTTAATATAGAGTGAGTAATGTTTTCGAACATATCTTTCAGTTATTTCTAAACGATGTATTCCCTATGATTGACTATCCATAATTCATAAGACATAATTTGTAAATCAGAAATGACATTGTTATACATTTTCGCTGAAAACAATCGAAGATAAGCAGTAAATTAAAAAATTTTACCATCGAGTCCTCATTATTATTATATACTATTATAATTATTATTACTGTGTTTATTATTATCATAATTATAATTACCTTTATTATGATAACCATTAGCTTCATTGTTATCGTTACCATTATCATCATTATCATCATTGTTGTCATTATTATTATTGTTTATGTTGTTATTATTATTATCATTATCATTAATATTAGGCCTATTATTATATGATTATCATTTGTATAATTATTATCATAAGTAGTAGTAGTAGTAGTAGTAGTAGTATCACTATCACTCTCACCTTCATTCGTCATCATTTTCAACCTTATCATTAGTACCAATTACCATTTTTATCATCCCATCAATATTTTTATGTTTTGATATTAGGCCTATTATTATATTATTATCATTTTTATAATTATTATCATAAGTAGTAGTAGAAGTAGTGGGTAGTAGTAGTAATAGTAGAAGTAGTAGTAGTAGTAGTAGTAGTAGTAGTAGTAGTAGTATAATAGTATCACTTTCACCTTCATCGTCATCATTTTTAACCTTATCATTAGTACCAATTACCATTTTTATCATCCCATCAATATTTTGATGTTTTGATTTCACGATGTGTGTTTTTTCTTCTCTTTTCTTCCTTTACTGTGTACAGAAAATGTGTTTATCGTGAATTTAGCTGTGGCTGACATGGGTGTATCCCTGATAGTGAATACGTTCTGCATCGTTGGTATCGTAACCAAGGCTGAATTCTTCATCGGCAAAGACTGGTTGTGTGAAGCCATAGGAGTTATCTGCATCACATGGTGAGCGGATGTATTAAGATACCATATAAAAACTAACTTGCAACATTTAGACCTGCTGACATAATCCTTCATCCAATTAAGGAACTGACGTCTCTTACCTGAACATCAACTTTCAAAATATATCAATAGACCTATATATCATAAGCGTTTTGGGCCTCATGGGAAAAGCGCGGTATAAGTAATAATAATCATAATAATAATAATAATAAATACATATATTTCGTTCTTCCTACCATTTTGATCATTTTCTGAGTAGATAAGCCATTGCTAGATCTCGTCAATCAAGTTGACTATCGAGCTGCTATCCAGAATTTTGCAAATCATTAATTTGGTTGCAAAAGAAAATGTACACTTTTGCTGTAATTTTTTTTTTTTTTGTAAAGGAAAAAATGGAAATGGAAGGATCCACATGTACATCAAGATTTGATCTTATTTCATACGGATTTACATCCTGCTCTAGTATTTCATCATAAAGGTGGGGGGGGGGGGGGGGGTGTGAGGGAGATTTGTCGTTCAGAATATTCTTAGATTTGTATTTTGGTACTCCAATACCACCACATCTTGTAAAGTGTCGTCGTTATGGTTGCGCGACATTTTGTAGATAATGGCAATTAGACTTTGTAATGAAAGGTTGGAATCGTTACCTTATCTTTCACTTTAAACAGCTTGATCTACTCATCTAACGTCATGTCGTACCATTACTTTTTTTCTTAGGTAAAACCTAGTTCCGGATTTAGAGAGGGGGACATCGAACCGTGCCCCCTATAAAAAAAACCAGTGTAGCATAGTATAATCTGCCCCTCCTAATCGTCTTCTTTTGGCCCCCTCTGGAATTTTCGGCACTGTTGCCCTGTCACCTTCCCCCTTCCTTGACCAAATCTTGGACTCGCCTCAGTGTGCAGCTACTCAGAATCTTAATCAGACAGACTAGTCATTGTTCGTGTCATATCTTAATGAAATGTTTCTCAAATTTGGTAATAACATAATCATGGTAATATATTATGCAATGGTCATTCCCGACTATTCGAGTCTAATTCAGACAGGATCTGCTGTATTTTGAATCGTTTTTATACTTCAAGATTACGGAGTATGGTATGCTATATCGTGTCTTTTCTTGGAAACGTTGTCTTTCATAAGTCAATCTATCATGAGGCTTCGGAAATCAATGTCGTATACATTCCAAATCAACGCCTACGTTATCTTTTATGAAAAATAATGTGTTGTTTTCCACGAGACAAAGATAGTCATTTGTTTTGTTTATCATAGACGAGCTTTGGAATTGTAAGTAAAATATGCAAAAATATTTGTCATACAATTTTTGCTCACGATATAGCTTGTTTTTGTGATCACAATGATCATAAAGTTTATTGGCCCGTATTGGAAATAGAAATGAATGAAATGAAAATGAAAATGAAATTCTACTAAAATCTAAACCTGACGCTGGAAACGGCTGGATTTAGGCTTTTGTTCAAAGTCGGGTTTACCGAAGAAAATCAGTCTGAGGTCTAAGTTTGACTTTTGCTAAATGTGATTTGTGACCCAGTTTCGAGCGTAATACGATCCTTTGTGTTAATCACTTTGTTTCTTGTCGTTCTTTAGCTGTGCCTGTTCTATGTGGAGCATTGCTGCAATTGGTGTCAACCGTTATGTCATAATATGCCACTGGGCCAGGTATAACAGCATCTACAACCGCCGGACAGTACCTTTCATGCTTTTAGCGGTATGGTCCATCTCTTTCTTCATTGATCTGCCAAACATGGTAGGATGGGGTGATCATCGTTTTGACTGGAAAACCATGGTTTGCACTGCGGATATGGCCATTGACTATTCCTACACCATTTATTTCTCCTGCATGGGCTTTGGGGTTCCACTCTGTTTTATCATCTACAGCTATGTTCGTATTTACTACCATGCCTGGAAATCCTCAGCTAGACTTAACAGGGTAAGTTGATTAGCATCATAGAAACACAATTAATATTCTTACTAGTGTGTCTAGAGCCGGGTAATCAAGGCCATTAATTTCTTATTCAAAGGCATATTTTCGCATTTTTGCTTGAAATTTTTGCTTGAAATCAGTGGTATTCATATGTTTATATAACCATTAAAATACATCAGCGAATAATTGGTGACAAGTCACGAAATTGAATAGCTGTAGGAATTCAGTCCTACTGCCATCAATGAATAGGATGGGTATATACACTGTAGGCCTTTATACCAATCATCACTTCAAAGAAGGTAATAAATCAAGAGCAAGATTCCATGTATTCAGATATACCTAAAGGTCTGTTTAGATTTGTGTATGAAAATAATGCCAGGGACACCTAACAATTTTTTATATTATAGAGATATCGACTGCTTTGAGAGGCCTGATTGTCTTATAGGCTCTCGGGAACGTGCATATTCTGGCATGACCCCGAGGCGCGCCTTTTTTTTTAAAGCAGTCGATATGTTTTTGACATGTATGCCGAATTGAAACAAAAATCTACCAATAATTCTTACCTTATTCTTTTATTGAGTAAAGATTGGTTAAAACTTCATCGAAAATCTGAGACACTGTCTGTTAATCTTCGCCTGAAAAATGACTGAAGTTTCAATCATTTGGGAATAGCAGAAATATAAATAACAGAAAGCACTGTATGATGTCCGCGCTCGCACAAAAACACTTTTAAAACGTAAAACAATAGGGATCGCAGCATGAGGTCATTAAAAAAAAGACTATTGACCGGTAGGCGGGTGTGAGGGCACTTTTAAAAAGACTATTGACTGGTAGGCGGCATGGCTAAAATCACGACTCCAATTTCGACCAATCAGATGGCTAGATTTTTAAAGTGAGGTATATAATAAGAATTATTCTCGAGATCATTGATGGGATGACAGGCACGATAGATTCGGCATTATATCGGCGAGTCACGACACCAAGTCCTTTTTTATAGGAAAATCCGAACAATTAATATTTGTATTGATAAAAATAACGAAACGTGTAACACGACGCCTAAGATTATGATTCTATCTTGTTATATTCTGGTTTAGGTTGCTAAAGAAGACGGTTTATCCAACAGACATACCAACGATATGAGGCTTGCTAGATCGTTACTGTGCATCGTCATCTTCTTCATCGCAATGTGGGCGCCGTATTCTCTGACCGTGATCATTGACCGCCACTCCGTCGCACACAGGTACATCTACATATTCACAGCCCTACTGGCACACACAAACAGTAGTATTAATTGCCTCCTCTATGGTGCAACCAATCGTAATTTTCGCCAAGGTTATATGTATTTCTTCAGGTTTATCTTATGTCGGGATGTTGAATTTTCTGCCATGGTTTGTACGAATAGTTTAGCTGCATCACAGAGAACAATCAATTTAGAAGACCAGCTTTAGATACTGACATTTTGTCGATGATCCTGAAAGCTACGCCTCCCCCCTCCCCCCGAGAATTTTGAAATAACAAATATTCAGGTAGCTGTCACTTTATTTGAGCAGCCCCTAGACACGTGCATGAAGCGGAACGGTTTATTCGTGATTTTCATATTTTTATCTGGTAGTTTTTTAACGAAATAAATACATTTACATTGTAAGAGAACGTTATGCAGGCAGCGGGATGGTTTATTTGTGATTCTCATATATTATCTGGTATTTCTGATTACGAAATTAAATTTTCACTGTATGAAAATTGTACGTCAATGTTGTAATGTCTTTAGCCAAAGAAGTTATTAAAGGATAGACGTAACCATGGTAACAAAGGTGTTTTTAAATCGCTAGCGGAGTTTGTCAATGTGTTCGGCGGAGGCTCCAAGTCGATACACTCATTAATCACTGTGAAAACGAATTCAGCCTTGTGTCTATACCTTTTTTTTAATTTAGAAAATTCTATTTCTCTACCACGACTTTCTATCAGATGAAACTACACTCATAAGAAATAAAATGAAAAAGGAAACGGCATTAATTAGCTTTATGTTTAGCCTTCCCATGCATTTCCTCCTTCTTGCAAGAGTTTCACAGAGTGTTTCAGGAATAAAAATGATGTTAAATATTCAGCAATATTAATTATTAGAAACATACTCACTAGTGCATAGCCACCATCCGATCCATTTTCATTCAATTCATTTGTTCGTGTAACAAGCTACTTGTAAGCTCATTCTTTCTGACCAGCGGCTTATGTACTAACATTGAAATTAAGGGGCTGAATTCTGTATAGACGGGAGGGGGAGGGTTGTAATCTGCGTGCTAAAAGCTTATAATATATATTATATAAATAATTCATTCTCAATTGTAATGAGGACTGAAAGAGGAGCTGTCTTTTAGAAGGATAATGGTCCATTTTCATGAACTGCATTATTAGTCGTGAAGCGGTGGTGTAAACTGTGAGAGGTCACATAATGAGTCAGGTTCTTCACATTTTCATGTCAGTTATATTTTCGGCCACACCATAAAAACCTGAACCGACTCTAAACCAATCGATTTGTGGCCATTACATGGTGGTAATTTGATTTTGTGTTCGTTCTGTTGTTGGTGTGGTGTTGGTCTCTTAGGTGAGACTGGGGTATTAATATATACAAATTATAGTCGTTACTCAATTATAATAATGATTGACACCTGCAGGCCGAGTACCATCCATAAAATGACAAGTGGAAATGAGTTATGTGCAAAGATAATAATAATCAGCTAATTGGTTCATGTTTATCTGACTCCAGTAGCTCTCTACCTAATTATCTTTTAAGTGATATCATGTGTAAATCGGACTACTGGCCAAAATTTGTTTAGTGATAATTCGTTTGCGTCTTAATTTCTTGCTTTTGTAGATTTCATTGGTATAATCTTTTGTTTGAAGTGTCTTGGATATACGGACTTCAGACTTTTATTATTATATATATATATTTGGACAACTCACTCCCAGATCCTAATCAAATGATTGGTCATGCGCGGTCACGTGTGATTCATTTACTGAGCCTATTGCACTCGTTTTCATGAAAAGGAGTGCAATATTTTCCAGTACTATTGAACTCGTTTTCAGAGCGCGCAGTAGTGCGCGTAGAGGTTAGAGCGCCTAATACTGCGTGTGCATATGGGCCTATTCTTGCGCAGCACTATGCGTAAATGGAGGTAGAGTTAAGTGCCCTTGCCATATCTATACTTATGTGTGCGCACTTAATTTAGACTTATTAAAACTTGAGATTTATTTGTCAGCCATATACTGTCACGAAACAATCTTGAATTAATTATTTTTACATCAAATAACAAGGATCTAGAAGTTTCATTGTATAAAACAAATGATGCATGTTTTCATTCGTTTATTATACGATCTATCCACCCTCGTTGATGCTGTGTGTTATCTATCGCCTTCCGCCTAACGGCTTCGTGCGATAGATAACACACAGCCTCAACTCGAGTGCGGATAGATCGTATAATGAACTCATGCGCATGCATCATTTGTATAATAATCAGAAATAATGTGATTATAACAACCACATATTAATGAAAGAAATCAATCTGTGTTTAAGGCATAAAATGAAATGCGTTAAGTTTAAATATGTATCTAAGCAAGTACCGAACGCTGTATTTTTATTTGAATATTGTTACACAATGTGCTTATTTTGCACTTGTACAATCTCTTACATTTATATTACCCGCCACGACTTATTTTTATTAAAGCTATGTGAATCAAGTATTTATGATAATGGCTTATATGAATGTCAACAATTTCATCGATAGCTGGAAATGTTCAACTCATCCCTCCGTATTAATACCACCCCCCCCTCTATTCCTTCTAACTAAAACCTTTAATAGTTTGCTATGAACTCAATGGCCCGAATTCACAAAGGAGGTTTGTCGACAAACCTAGGTTTACGTGCGTCATAATTATGACACGTTTCGATGCGTTTCAGACCAAGTTTCAGACAAACCTTGGTCTGGAACGCGTCAAAACGCGTCACATAACGCACATAACCTAGGTTTATCTACAAACCTCCATTGTAAATTCGTGCCAATATCTCCGGGCTGCAAACATATCAAACTATGATTACGATGTAGCCCTTCATTATTATCACCTCTTAATGCACAATTATGTTCTGGTTCATGCTATGCTCATATGTAATGATATACTGTCCAATGTCTATACGTTTTGTAAACGATTTGTCAAACATTGTTATTGTGAAAGACGATACAATAACCAATAAATATTTCACTAATTTCACCTATTGTATTTTTTGAATAATGGGAGACGTGATTGATAACGAATTCAATTCAAATTTATTGGGCCAAAAGGAAATGCATTGCGTTAACACGCATTATTCAAAGTGAAAAAATAAAATGTACAATGTGACATGATACACATAACATGAAACGAGTATATAATTTTATAGAGAAAATAAACATTATCGCACTTTAACATTTATATTGTATAGATATTTTCTCTGAATTTACATTGTATTCGATGTTTGTTCATATTATCCAGAGTAATTACCAACACAAATATAACATTGTTATTAATACTATTATTATTATTATTATTATTATTATTATCAATATCAATATTATTATTAATTTTATTAATATTTTGATTGCTTTTTTTTATCAGTTTGACCCATTATGTCATTATAATAAATCAAAAATGCATTGGTTTTTGATAGGTTGAGAGCTCGTCACATGACCAGAAATATTTCAACTAATAAAGGTTGCTCTAAAAAAGTATTATTTGATAATTTTTGTAATATTTTTTGTAATGAGAAATTTTTGATTCAGGATATAAAACAAATATTCCATGCCTTCTTTTCGAGGTACTGGTTAAAACTATGGGCCTCGGTGGATCCGATAGTACCATTTGCTTCGGGGGCTGCCCCCTTCAGCAAATAGTACTATTCGAGTCACCTCTTGCGCATAGTTTTAACCAGAACCTCTCAAGAAAGGGTATATTTGTATATTATAGTAAGATACAAATAATGTTCACATCTTCTGGGGGAATGCAAAACCCTATTCTGATAGATCCACAACATTAATTGTCCCTATAAACGAAACCTAAATAAATTATGAGGGCAGTATGTATGCAATATGAATACCTATTTACGGCAGTATGAAATAATTTTTAATAAACATGCAATATATTTATTATGACATGTGAGTATAAATACAAAAGATACCTTTTCATTTCATTTGAGAAAAGATGACTATTATAAGAAATTAAATATAATTGTCCTACAATATAAATATAAACAAATTTTCGATCATTTCCTACAATCGAATGGAAATGACTATAATACGAATCATACATTTTACATCTACGTTTCATTTAACAGACGGATAGAGGGTAATAGACGGGAGAGGGGGTCGGTGCCCCCCTTTTCGCACTCTTTGTCTAACATCGCCCAGTTAAACCTCGCTTTCGTGTTTGTTCAGGCAAAAGTTGGTCATCTCTATAGTTGGTATCCACTCGGTGAGATCCGGTGGGGTATCTCTCGCCGAGGGTGCTTCAGCGGGATGTAACGAATGCTGACGGTTTTATATTTGATCGCTGTTCGCTGGAGAGGAACATCAATACTTTGGGTCCCCCCCCCCCCCCAAAAAAAAAAAAAAAAAATCGAGAGACAAATTGTACTATAAAACAGATCCAGGTTATAGTCACATTACAACCATACATGTTTAAGGGCGGCACAAAAATAGCCACCACACGTCAAAAACGAGAAATTTGACCCCCCCAAAAAAATCACATAGAATATAACATGTAAACCGGTCGCCACTGAGTGCAGCGCCCTAACAAATTGTTTTCTCACGTTTTTCCAAATCAATTTAGGGAATTCAAGAACAAAAGAACAAATTAGAATACAGATTAGAAAGCATCAAAAATTAGATGATGAATTTCAGCCTTATTTTTCAAGGTAAATATCTTGAGATGAAACCTTTGGAAAATAGAGTTGCTTATGACTTTAGATGAGCTCCTAAAGCCTTGGAAATCTTTTTTTACAATTAAAATAAAAACTATGTTCGTATAATATTATAATAATAATCAAAAGTTAACTTTGTAAGCTAGAAAAGTTAAAAGAAGTTTCAACATTCAAAAAGCGGAGTCTGACAATGTTCTAATGATAGTATTTACCTTTATACTCGCGAATGTGATATACTTCCTAACTAAGTATGCCTTATTCACATATTAATAATTTACTGGCGCAAATCAATCTATGCATTCTTAAATATTATAAAAATCAGTAATTATCAGGGATTTCAAGATTCCTCACATATCTAGAGGCATCGTTTGGTAATATATCATAAGATTGTCATTTTTTTTCAAAATCAGATGGGCTGTAATTTATCCCGCCGAAAATCTGTGAGGGAGGGGATTACGCCAAATTGTTTTTTATGTGAATATGAAAAAAGATGTTGTAATGCCCTTGCGTTCGGTCGGATTTTGTTTCCCCCTCAAAAGGGCTACCGTTGCCCACAAAAATTCAAAACCGGAATCGTCGCCCAAAATCTCACTGGTTTCTAGCTGGTGCAATACATAATACACATAATTATAAGCTACCCCCCCCCCCCCACACGCCGACCGGCCGGCCCCCATCCCAGTCAGACAGAAGCTCAAATAGCCCAGTGCAGGAAGGGTTT